TTTCAACAAATATATCCAAACCTTGTTAACAGACAGCCAAAACTAAGGAAAATAAACCAGATTGAATTTTCTTACCTTCTCTCACAAAGCTACTTATGACTCGATTCACTGCCGATGAACCAATATCAGTGTTGAACATTAGGTTCAAGATTGTTCTAGTCTCATTCAAATTTCCCTCTGTTAGTCGCAAATTGAGCAGCATTCCAAGAGCATTGACATCAAGCCGACTCACATTTGTAATTGCTTCATGTTTATCCTGCTTGTTTCTTTTGATATGCATAGCCTCTACAAGTGTTTGTACAAATCTGTTATCCTTAACCAAAGCCTCTCTATCCATTTTCTCTACTAGCTCTTGAGCTTCTGCGACCATTCCCTCCTTGCAATACACTCTCATAACCATCTTGTAGAGCTCTATATCGAAGTGCACTTGATCCACCATTATCTGCTTGATAAAATCCTTAGCTTTTTCTCCTAAATTGAGTCTGGTATACATATTAAGCATGTCGTTACAAGAACTGGCATCAGGAAGTCCAGTCTTTGATAAAGCTCGAAATGCATCCTCAGCACACTCTACATTCTGTTTCCTAGTATAACACTGTAATATGACAATATAGGCGAATCTAGATAGGGGAATATCTCTGGTCTTCATCATTTCAATTACATCTAAAGCTTTGGCAACATTTCCTGAATTTAAATGAACTTGAGACATTGCCAAATATGTTTTCTCATCAGATAGTATATTCAGGCGCTCACTCTCCTCAAAAATAGTCTGTGCATCATGAAAAAGCCCAAGCTTCCCATATATTCTGATGATCAACCCACGGATGACCTCATCAGCTGGAATTTTATTTCTCTCCATGTCTGCAAAGAGAGAAAGCGCTTTTGGGTAATTCTCAGTTTTGTAATATAAACTTAACATAGATGCACAAGTATAGTTGCTCGGAACGATTCCCTGAGATCTCATATCCTCATACAATCGAACAGCCTGATCCCCATCACCAGCCTTCACACTTAAGCCAATAACTGAGCTGTAAGTTACTTCCTCTGGGAGAAACCCCAAGCTTTTCATCTCACCAAAAGCCTTCAATGCCTCCTGGTTGAACCCCTGTTTGGCATATGAGCTCACAACCAATGTATATGTGAATTCAGTCGGTGGCACACCTTCTTCCACCATTTCTAACCATAGATCAATCACTTTCTCATGAAGTGATTTCTTCTGCAGAGATGAGAGCATGAAATTGTACACGGAAGTAGAGAGGGTTATTCGCCTTTCTTGAACAGCTTTGTAGAACGTCAACATAGCATTATGGCGTCCCCATCTGGCATATGCGCACAACATTGTACCACAGGCTACTGCATCTGGTTCACATCCCACTTCGAGCATTTCCAAAAAGGTTTCCTCGGCCAGCTTTATCTTCCCGACTTGTCCATACAAACGAAGAACAATCGTGTAGGCAACTACACTAGGACGGTAGCTTAGCTGTTGACACAAAAATCTATCACCAAAAATTCATTAATCTAAATCTTACTTGTTAAACCAAGACTGAAGTAAGACAAATGCCGCAAGGTTAACCAGGCAAACAGCTCTCTAAGAGAAACACAATTCAAGCAATCAACTATTATGATATCCTATGTATTTGGCTTCGCAAGCTAAATTCGCAGATTTGAAACTGAAACGATCATGCAGCAAGCCTATAAGAAATAGATGCAAGATTTCTATACCTTACTCAGAATCTAGTGCAAGAAACCAAACAACTCAGCTAATTTAGCCTCTCGAAGCTAAAAGCAAACAATTAAACAGACTTTCAACAAGCAAACTCCAGATAAGAAAACTACAAAAGCCTATAATGAGACAAAGTCAAGGTTGGAAGAGGAGAGAACCTGCAATTTCATCCAGGCGAAGAAGTCTCTAACTTGTCTCCAACCTCTCTGCTCTTTCAAAACAACGCACATATCTCTGAAAGTAAGCTTGGCGACAAAGCTACCCATCACAAGCCTCATATCATCACTACCTTCTCTCCTCTGCGACAAGGCTCTCACCGTCTTAACCGCAGCAACCACATGTTTCCCGTACATCTGACCGTTCCGATCATCCTCCAAATACTGAACCATCTGCTCAGGGGTACGCTTAATCCACTTGGGAGTCATAGCGTGAGAGCCTTGGTTCCTCCTCAAGGCGCTCAGGTACTGTGCCTTCTTCTTTATAATTCGCCTCGCGTCGTCGTCGGATAACGGGTGTTTCGGCCTCTCGTATCTCGGCTTCGGTCTCTCCGGGTTACCGTCGCTGAGAGACCACGGGTCGGGTCGGACTCCGGGCGTAGAAGAGGCACGTATCGAGATTGTCGACCTTCTCGAGGGTATTTTGGGAATAAATATCCAAGGATTGAGGTGAGTAGTGGAAGTGAGGAAGTCAC